TGTATTTGGGTCTTCTATTCTATTCTACCAACAGTCATGCTGTTTTGTGTGTGCCAGGGCAGTATGTTTTTACTATGTTCTGTAGTAGAATTTGAAATCAGGACTGGTGATGCCTCCAGCAATGTTTTAATTGTTAAGGTCTGATCTTTTGTGCTTCCCTTTGAATTTTAAACTTTTCTGTTTTTCTGTGAAGAACCGGAATTTTGATGGGAACTGCATGAATCCAGACTGCTTTTGGCAGAATGACCATCTTCATCCTGTTCATCCTACCAATCCATACCCATGAGGACACTCTATCGTTTGATGTCTTCAACTCGTGTGTTTTAAAACATCCACTGGGTAGGAACTGGCCTTAAGTCTTTCTTCTATAAGAAAATTAACCTATGGTATATTTTCTAATGCAATTCTGGAGGGCATATTTGCCTATGGTGTATTTTCTATGCAATTCTGGAGGGCATATTCAAGCACAGTTGTAGTTTGCATTCTTGCTATGAGAAATACCAGGGGAAAAAATCCAGGCCTCGGTCACACTCCACAACCTCTTCAGTCCTGAAGTTTTCATGTCTTCAAAACCAGTACCATGTGGGAAGACATTAATCATTTCCAACTTCAGCTGACAGCTTGAGATGAAGCTCTGGATCCCGTGGAGCAAACTTCCCCGTGTGCCAACCCTGAAGAAACACTTTCCTAAGCTCAGATTTCACCTCAGTGATGCTGACATTTTATTAACCACAGGTGATCTTTCAACCCAGGGAGACCAGCATCCTATAATGTCCTGATACAGGACAAAAACTTTCACTAAAATGTGTGGAATTTGTTAACCACACCTGACTTCCCAGGCACAGCATTGCCAACCAGCACAAACTACTAGTCAAAGTATCCCAAGAATGGTGTCTCCTCCAGTTAGGTCCTTGCTCCTCCTGAAGCACTACAAGCCAGACTCCACAGTCCACACTTCTTTCAACGTTATTGCCCAAGCTTCCACAACAGCCCATTAAGCTATGAGCAGTAGATGCAATTTCTAGCCCAAAGCCTCAAAATCCTCCAGAACCCTCCAGCAAAGCAGTCCAAACACAAAAAAAGCAACATGGTCAGGTTCACTGTGGCCACATTCCTATTTACCTGGTGCCAATTTCTGTTTTAGTCTGATCTCTATTGCTATGACAAACACCATAATCAAAAGCAACTTAAAAGGAAGGAAGGGATCTCTTAAGCTTATACTTCTAGGTCACAGCCCATCATTGAGAGAAATCCAGAGGAAACTTGAAGCAATCTTGCTTACTTGCTCATGCTTAGTTAACTTATCCCACCTAGGACCACCTGCCTAGGGATGGTACTGGCCACATTGGGCTGGACCTTCCTACATCAATTAATAATCAAGACAATTCCCATGGACATGACCACAGGCCAACCTGATCTAGACAACTTCTTAATGATGGCTCTCTTTTAAGATTATTGTAGGCTGTGTCAGACTGACAAAGCTAACTTGGGTGGGAATTAAATTAAAGTCCCCGGTGAGTTATCTCTGTGCTTTTGAAAGATGTATACCTATCCTAACTATGGAGCCATGGCCTAATGACAAAGGTTAGGATGCTCCTACTCTTGAGTACAGAACAGGGACATACTTAACATCCTCCATGAAACATCTTGTGTCAGGCCTGAAATTTGGTGCAGTTGTGTTGGAAGGGATGGTGCCGCTTGTTTGTCCCGGCTGCCCGGCTAGCTTAGCCCCAAAATAACCACGCAGAAACTATATTAATTAAATCACTGCTTGGCCCATCTCTTAGCTCTAGTTTCTTACTGGCTGATTCTTACATCTTAATTTAACCCATTTCTATTAATCTGTATATTGCCACGTGGCAGTGGCTTACCGGTTAAAATTCAGCATATCCATATCCCGCAGCAGATCCATGGCATCTCCTGACTCTGCTTCCTTCCTTCCAGAATTCAGTTCTGTCTTCTCTGCCTACCTAAGTTCTGCCCTATCAGGCCAAGGCAGTTTCTTTAGTCATTGACCAATATAAGTAACACACAGAGGGGATTCCCACATCACAGTGGGCCCACAGAACTATCTAGTAACTAGATATAAGTTTACAAATGGCCCCTTAGGAACACCCTCACCACTTTACTTACATAATATTTATATAATACTATACAGATGAGAGAAAGGGAAATGCAAGTGAGAACAATACACAGAACATTCCCTAAACAGCCTTCAAAGACTCAATCAGCTGGCCACTAAGAGAACAGGGTTTATTGCATGTTATAGACCCGGGCCCCCAACCTTCCTCTGCACTTTCTTCTGGTTACTTTTTATAGTCTACACACACCACCTCACTTTTCTTTTCAGCCTCTGCTCCCTTCCTCGCAGCAGTCCTCCCCCTCTGGGTGTTGCACGTTTCATGCAAGCCACCAGCAGCAGAGCCCATCTTCCAGGGCCAGGGCTCAGCGGTATCCTCGGGCTCTTCCACCCAATGCCCTGTCTCTCGCTCCCCTGATGGAAGGACGCCAGAACTGATGACAGGACCCGCTTTTAACGTAGTGTCAAGCCCTTGTCTATCCTTCCTGTGTTGCTCTACGGAAGGTAGATGAGGGTAACTTTAAACAAGATTCTATACTTGGAATGAACAGATCCTAATGTAAAGACTTCCCCCCCCCCAAAAAAAAGCACAGTTGGAAGCTAGCAGAGTTAAAATGAGCAGAAAAATGATCATTCACATGTTCATGCAGCTGTGGTCACCATCAACAAACCAGCGAGCAGCTCTGGAGCAAGCAGAAGAGAGGAGAAGCTCCTAGGGCTTGCTGGCAGAGACAAGCAGATCTATGAAGTTCTGACCCACCCTGCTGCAATGCTACGTCATACACATCTCTCTTGCTTAGTAGCAAGAGACATGAACTTGGCTGGGAATAGGACATTTGACAATATTCAGTAAAGAAACCAAACCTACCACACTGCTACAAAGCTCTGTTTGGCTGACTGAAGTTGTAATCCCTTTTAATTACTGTGCTCTGTTTGTTCTCACTGCCCAGAGAGTGTGGTTTATCATAGTATATTCAGATCACTATTTTTACTTTTTTTTATTTTTATTGAGCTCTGCATTTTTCTCTGCTCCCCTCCCTGCCTCTCCTCTTACCTTCATCCCTCTCCCAAGATCCCCATGCTCCCAATTTACTCAGGAGATCTTGTCTTTTTCTACTTCCCATGTAGATTAGATCTATGTAAGTCTCTCTTAGGGTCCTCATTGTTGTCTAGGTTCTCTGGGATTATGGTTTGTGGGCTCGTTTTCTTTGCTTTATGTTTAAAAAAACACTTATGAATGCATACATGTGATAACTATCTTTCTGGGTCTGGATTACCTCACTCCATCCATTTTGTCATTATGTTTTTCTGCTGTTTAGTACTCCATTGTGTAAATGTACCACATTTCCCTTATTTATTCTTCAGTAGAGGGGCATTTAGGTTGTTTCCAGGTTATGACTATGATAAACAAAGCTGCTATGAACATAGTAGAGCACATGTCCTTGTGGCACGATTGATACCCAAAAGTGGTATTACTGGGTCTTGAGGAAGGTTGTTTCCTAATTTTCTGAGATATCACCACACTGACATCCAAAGGGGCTGTACCAGCTTGCATTCCCACCAGCAATGTAAAAGTGTTCCCTTTACCCCACAACCTCCCCAGCATAAATTGTCATTCATGTATTTGATCTTGGCCATTCAAGATTTCAACATAAAGCCAGCCACATTGAATCTCATAGAAGAGAAAGTGGGAACTACACTTGAATGCATTGGCAGAGGAGACCACTTCCTAAATATAACCCCAGTAGCACAGACACCAAGAGAATCAATTAATAAATGGGACCTCCTGTAAAGCTTCTGTAAAGCAAAGGACACAGTCAATAAGACAAAACGACAGCCTACAGAATGGGAAAAGATCTTCACTAACCCCACATCAGACAGAGGTCTGATCTCCAAAATATACAAAGAACTCAAGAAATTGGTCATCAAAAGAACAAATAGTCCAATAAAAAAAAATGGAGTACAGACCTAAACAGACAACTCTCAACAGAGGAATCTAAAATGGCTGAAAGAAGATCAAGGAAATGCTAAATATCCTTAGTCATCAGAGAAATGTAAATCAAAACAACTTACACCTATCTCACTTTTCTGCACATAAAATCATTCATACATCCTCCAGCATAATTCCACCTCCACATATCATCTTCAACGAGAGTGGAAAACAAATTATAAGCGCCATTTATTAGACACATATCAAGTCCTCTCTTTCTGGGGCTGAGGAGATAGAGTGGCGGTTAAGAGAACATACTGTTCTTGCAGAGAAAGGGCCCAAGTTAGATTTTAAGCACCCATGTCAGTGGCTTCCAGCCACCTGTCATTCTAGCTCCAGGGGAACCAACACCACTAGATAGTTCATTCACGAACACATACCCACACACCACACAGAGACACATAAAAATATACATATTAAATATTTTTTTAAACTTAAAAAAAAAGAACCTGTATTTCCTAGCAGCTCACAGGTCCCCAAGGAATACCTATGTTTTAGACTTCTGAGGATGTATATGGGATAGCAAGTGGTTAAGGAGAGTAGTACAAAAGAGAAATAGACTGGAACGCACCAGAAATACATGTATGAATGGTTTTCAATTATTTTCCATGGGGGGAAACTTCTCATTTTACAAGTAGCCACAGGTATTTCTAGGCAGTGTAGTGTTATGTATTATGGCAGATAAAATTTAAAATATACAGACTATGATTTCAGTAAATTAATCATGAGCTAAAGCAAAGCAGAAAAAAATGCTTATATACCTTTATGTACACACAGGTGCGCGCACATACATGCACGCGCTCACACACACGCCTGTCATTCAAGTCATAAGGACCTGGAGGTAGAACTTAAAAAGACTTTAGTCAAAATAAGATAGGTAGATGTGGGGTGGCTTTTACTCCTGGAAACAATAAGAAATCACACAATAAGTATATTTTTAAAAAATTATATTTTTCGAATCCTGAAACACCAATAAGTTATTTATGAAAGACACCATGACTATTTATCTTTTTCATTGTCAAATTATCAAATCTGATAAAAATAATCATATTTTAAGTTAAGAATCAGAAGCAGGCACAGAAAAGGAATCTGTGTGGCTTTCTCACAGTGCTGTGAGCAGTGAGTTAGCAATTCAATCTGTAGACAGAAATCCCTGTCACTGAATTACGCCAAGTTGCTTTGTTACCAAATGAAGACTTTCAGTCAAACATGTAACATTGCTGAAATGAAGAAATATTTCCAGTATAAACTGGCTGGAACTGATAAATCAAGGATTTCATCTCCTCAAATTCATTCTCATAGTGGTGATTGTTCTTCCGAGCTGCAAGAGAAAAATAATGTTCATTTTTTTTAAAAAAGATTGGTTGACAAGATTTTCAAAAGACTACTTTATAACAGTTCTTCCTGAGATCAGGACTATTCACTGGGAAAGAAAGGGCAAGAAGAAAAATGCCTCAGAGATGCATACAATACCAATACAGCTGTGCCGACGTAAACACAGTCGCTGTCGTTAGAGCAGCTCTCGTCCCCCATTCAGTCTACCGTTCATTACAAGGCTAAATGTGCACAGGACAGGACATGGACCCGCTACCAGGGAAGTATAGCTGAGCGGACATGCAGAACTAAATGGTGGACTTTACAGCACACCCGCACTGGGAGGGTGCACAAGTTAAAGGAGTGGAAAAACTAAGGTGAGTGCCAGCAGAGGAAACAAGGCAGAATTATTCAACAAAGGAGGCCAGCGAGAGGCTTGTAGATGGGTGAGAACTAAGCTTTGAGAATAATGTCAGAGTCAATACAGGTCCTGATGTTTTTATAAAGCATGTTGGCAGATATAGATCCAACAACCATCATAAGATTTAGGCTATAGCAAAGCCTGCTCTGCCCACTAAGGTGTCCACTCCCGCCCATGGAGGAAGATGCTCCTTTGGGCCAACACTACACATGGGATGGTTTTGTTGTGTTTAAAACTCACTTGGATGTTTTTCACAAATTCCTCCATTCAACTATATATAATTTCAAACGCAGACCAGATAGAGTTTGTTAGATTTCTAATGTGAGCAAGAAGGCAGACAAAAGGCATAGGGGGGAAGCTGGGGCTAAGATGAACACTGGGCTCATCGAGTCCTCAGCTGGTCACCTCAGTGATGTCTGTCCCCTGCATACTGCCTCTACGCTCTCGCCAATACCACTCAACGTACCTACGCCCAAATTCTCCTTTTAACCACAAGTATAGAATGCATGAAAATCCAGACTAATAACTTTTCTCAGTATCCCATTGCTTACAGACAGACAATCATAAAGCCCCAGGCTGTGACAGGATATACTTCCATTTATATCATTGTCTTGAAAAAATAACAAATAATGCCCCAAAATTATTATAATTACATCATTGTTCTTGAAAATCAGAATTGAAAGTATTCAAGGAGAAAAAAAGAACTCCACATTCTTTAAATCACTGTTCAAGGATTCAGACCACTAGATCACAGATGGCTCTGTTAAATATAGTTGCCCTGACTTTTAATGACAACCTAATATCTCAATTTCAAGACCTTCACATTATTTAATATTTCTAATTAAATCTGTAGACCTTATTTAACAGCTAAAGAATAAAAAATATACAGGAGCCAAGAGAAGGGCACACAGTTTCCCTCCAAAGTCATAATAGAGTAAAGAGATCATACACCCACATATACATTACCTTCAGAAACAAGGAAATCTGCCAAGTAAAACGCAGTCTTCACAGCATTTGGTGCGTGGGAAATACCGTCCAAGTTTTTCCACTCATATGGGGCTTTCTCAGGATGCCACTGGACAGCATATACTGGATACTTAAATCCTGAGTGGAGAACACACAACAGTAAGCACAAAGAATGGTTTATGATAATGTTCCTACACTGTTTCATGCCATGTACAAACCATATAAAACACTACAACTCACCAAAATCACAACTATAAAAGTTGCACATATGGGCTCACACAAAGCATTGCTTGTGGCCAGGACATCTTACTGATTTGCATCCTCTTAAAACATGAATGTGAGTTGTAATTTCCCGGAAATGAGAGTGAAGTAAAACAGCTGGCTTGGGAATCCTTCCAGTTCAACAGCAAGGTGAACGGTTTCTTTGACTGTGCATCTAATCTAGGGCCACACCCACGCCAAGTATACATTCTACCAGTGAGTTCTATCTTCAGGCCTGAGTGCACACTCGGCTCTAGGTCTGCGCCTTGCCCCTCTTCATACATTTTCTAATTCCACAATGACTTAAGGAAGTAAGAACAAACCATGCCATCATTTTTATATTCACCAATCTGTCTTAGCCTGTGAGATGATTAGTGACTTTAGGGAAACAATTGCTAAAACAAACTTTGATAGTTTAAAAACAGCTGTACTCTGAGCGATTGTAAGTCAATTGTGTTTAGAACTCTTAGATATTATACATACTCTTAGCTAAGTAAAATTACTTAAACTTTTAGATTAGGATGAAAACAGTTCAGTGTGGGGAGAAAGTCATATAAGAGAAAGGCCGTTTGCATGCTGACTGGTTAGAACTGAGAAAATGTCATGCATCACTTCCTCACCTTTCCTACATGCTTTAGCAGTTTCATTTTTTAGGACGGTATATATTTCTAAAAGTCTTTATCCACATGTGTCTTTCCTCATCTGAATAGAAAGCAACATCTGCCCCTCCCCATCGGTGCTTTAGAATGGAAACCACGATGGCTCTCGGAAAGCACTTGGAGAACACAGCCGTCCAGAGAAAGAACGCCATCCTCTCATGCCGCACTCCGACTCTCCACTTGCACAGCAGGTGGAGAGAAAGGAAACCCTGCACCCAGCCTTACTGGAGCGCACAAGAAGCAAACAGTGCCAGCGAGCAGCTCTAAACACAAACCCCTCACATCCCCCTGCCTCCTCTCCCTCTCACGCTGCTGCACTGTCTCTCTCTATTCGGGGAGGACTCACAGGCAAAAGCAAGGCTGAGGTTAAATGTCTAAAGGAGGATTTATCTGATAATCAGGCACACACAGACATATGAATGCTGACATCAGAAACAAGTAAGGCTTGCTCTTTAGAAAATGGTTATTGAGTGCCCAAAGGCATTCTTCTGCAACTGTAGAAATTATAACCCGCGTCACTAATTTAGAACAAGATCAAAAGTGAGATAAAAATATGAAGAAGTGGAGCATCAAGGGCTCCTAACTCACGGCTGTCATCAAAGTATCAGGCTCTGAAATTTTCACAAGAGTCTGGTATGATGACATGATCAGAAGAACCAAGGAACTCAAATCTCTAATTACCAACCCTATACTCTTGTTTAAATGGCCATTCGTTCATTATCTCTGTTTTCCCCAAAGCCCCAGAAAAAGGAAAGACAAAACTCCAGTTCTCAGCGGGCTCTTAGTCTAGAGGGAAAGACAGAGCTTGAACAAATACAAGTAAAGAGCAACATTCCCAAGGAGCACAGAGCAAACACACAGAGCACCAAGACATAAAGAGGAGAATGGTGAAGAAGGCCTCTCTTCATTCAGAGCTGGCTTGAGTTTTTCAAGGTAGAAGAGAGCTTACCAGAAGGCGTCAGGGACATGAGGAGCTTTGGGTGACATGAGAAAATATGGGAGAAAAGAGAGGTGGGAAACAATGCTCTGTCTGCAGAGGGCAGAAATGGATGTACAAATCTCAAAGGAACACAGTCTGCAGGGAAAGCAGCAGAGAGTACGGGTTACCTGACCAGGTAACTCTAGGCTTGTTTCTCAGTGAGATTTCATGCTAGGTGCAAGGTAACTGTATGGGCGGTTAGGAGGAAGCTGGGTAGAGAGGAGAAAGTCTATACAAGATGGGCTTGGGAAACAGAAATCAGCCTAAAGTTTTTAGAAGCAGACAATGAGGCAGGGAAGCCAAAGTGGACTCAAGATTTCTACTGCAAGATGTTTGGGAGGTGATGATACTAGCAACTGGGTGGAAAGGTAACAACCTCACTTCACCCTGAGCTGACCAACATTTCTCAGGATTTCCTGCATAGATATTTTTTCCACCTCTTGGTTTAACAAATAAGCTATGATTTAGGAGTATTCCCCCAGATTTGGATGCTGGAAAGTTAATTCCTAAATCTTGTTACTGGTATATAGAAGTGGAACCTGTAGGAATTAGGATTAGAACAGGTTATTATGGTGAGGCCATAATAACATTAGTGACTCTGTAAGAAGGAAAACTGCCCTGATATCCCTTCGTGATTTGCCCTGTGAAACTCAGTGATGCTCTTTACAGCTAGGAGGTCCTCATCAGATGCTAACACTATGTTCCAGGACCCACCAACCTCCAGAAGAGTGGAGATTAATAAACCTCTATTCCTTTTAGATTATGCAGTCTCAGAGATTCAGTCACAGCAACATAAAACAGATGAAGTCACAGTGGCAAGGCCAATCTCCAAGTAACAATCACTGCCCCTCCTTTCGGTGGTAGTCTCCTCTCTAGGACTCTGTCCTCTCAGGTCGCTCTCTCCAGCCTCACCAAATCAAAGAGTCTACATGATACAAAAGCAGAGAAAGTGTCTTCTGTCTCTGGGTCCCTTTCCTGTTTCCAGCTCCTCCAAATACCCCATCAGCCTTTTCTCATGGAGGGTCCCATTTAAGTTTACAGCCATGCAGTCATCACACATTCTGAGAGACAGAACATAAAGTCAGGAAAGTAACATCTCTTAAAAACCGTATTTGCCACCACACACACTAAAACAACCACGTGTTACCAACACTTGCAAATCCCCTCTTTGGTGTAATAACTACTGTAATAATTGTACGTCTCCTCTATGAAAAATATTTCCAAGTTACTAACAAGAGTTATAGATATGTCCTGACATCATGTTTTGAAAGATCATAGAGATGAAAACTAGATCGAATAGATATTACCATCTAGGAGGAAGCCTGGTAGCACACACCTGTTGCCACAGAGCTCAGCAGGCTGAAACAGGAAGACTGCTACAGGCTGGAGGCCAGCCTGAGACAGAGAGTTCCTAGCTAGCCTGCACTACAGAGAGAGATTGCCTCAAAAAGCAAACAAAAATATAGTATATATTTTGTTATGCTTTTTTTTATTAACTCAAAAATTGTTTTCGCCGACCATTCACAATGAGGCACACAGATGTATGCTGACTTAGATAACAGAGTGCCTTTCTCCATCTGGTCTTCATCCTCAGCCTTCACCCTTCCTTGACCCTCACTCTTCTCCGTCATCACCCCAGGTCAGCCTCAACTGATTTGGAATGTGGACAGGATGTTCTGTCTTTGAACTCTAAAGTCACATAACTTCACTCCCAAGAAAAGAGGTCTATAAAATTAAAACGAGAAAATTTTAAGTCTCTATGCTCTATAGTGGCACATACCTTCCATGGATGAAATGAACTCTATATTGCCATCTGTATTTGTTGTTAATATATTGAAAACCTTCTTTAACTTCGCATTTTCTGTAAAGTTCTAAAATATAAGAATAAAACAGGGGTCAATTCTGTAGTTCCCCTAAATGTGTTCTGTTGCCCAAGGAGATACTACTGGTTGTATAACCAGGGGATACCTTCACAGAGAGGCTCCACTTGTGAAAATTCGCAGTCAGAGGCTCTAATGCTAGTGACACCAATAACTCGGCAGGAAAATTCCGGAACATTCTGCCCTGTAATGCACCTAAAATAATTTAAGCACAGAGAAATGACTGAAACACATAAAAATATAAAACCTACTAAGTCACTTACCTGCAGCCAAACAGCAGTCATTATTAAGACATAATTAAGATGAGTAAATGGTGAGCACAGCACATTTCATGAAGTGTCTACAGTCGGGCCAAGGCCTGGCCAACATGGGTACAAAGATGATATGCTCCAGATGGAACTCCCTGTTTTTAAGTTTCTAATAACTACAAATAGGCTAGCCATGAAAGAACAGAGAATCTTAACTCTGGGTCTCAGTAACCTCTGAAAAATAAGAACAATTTCCAAATCTGTATGCTTGTGTTCCCAGAAAAGGACGTAGCATTTCCAATGTATTTTCAAAGGTATATAGAACTTAAAAGGAGAGGACACGGAGAACAGATTAATGAAAACAAAAGGCCATAAAAGAGCCTACTGCTTTGTAAACCAATTCAAACTTTTAAGGTGCAGGGCTGGATAGACGACTCAGCAGTAAAGAACACATGCTGCTCTTGCAGAGGATTCAGGCTCAATTCCTAGCATCCATGTACAGCAGCTCACAATCACTTCTAACTCCAGCTTCAGGAGAGTCTACTCCTTCTGCTCTACACACACACACACACACACACACACACGACAGAGAGAGATAAAGAGAGAAATAAAATTAAATTTTCTTTTAAAATGTATACATTTTAAAAAAGAAAAAAAAGAGAGAGACACCCTGCATGACTAGGAAATGCTGCTTCTACAAATCCCAGTGGTAGGTGTGGGACACAGCCTTACGAATTGCTGACCAGGGAGGAAAACGAGACTCCTAAAGCAATATAAATTGTTTCCATTCCTCTCAGTTGCCCCCAGAACTAAATAGTAAGATCCTCTTGCTGAAGATACCACACCTCTTGAATACATAAAATGAAGAAACCCAGCTGGAACTGGGATGGAAGCTTCCTCCCTGCTGGAGAGCTTGCATAGGACCAGAAAGTGCCGTGCAAGTTGTTGGGGGAGAAAAGGCAACAATGGCTTAACCCAACTGTGAACCCTGTTAACTGCAGTGCCAACCTGAAAAGCAGGTACGATAAGAGTCATAATTGCTACAGGAGTAAAGCAACTTCTCTTAGATTAGAGTTAAGGCTGCCTTCAGAGGAGAAAATATATGCCTGGGCCTATAAAACCCAGACACCTAAAATAATTTAAGTATGGAGAAATGACTTATACATGAAAAAATAAAATCCACTGAGTCACTGACCGGCAACCAAACAGCAAACATTATTACGACATAATCAGGATGAGTAAATGGTGAACAAAACACAGTGTTTCCAGAGAAGCGCCTGTGGTTGGGCCAATGCATGTCTAACATGGACGCTGGGAAGATCACGGGCCCTAAAGGGAAACTCACTACTGCTGTTTAGCTAAACTGACATGGGTGACAAACCATAATCTAAATATTTGTGTTTATACCTACAGACAAATGCTAGCCTTTAAAGAATGCTAGCTAGTTAAAGAATTTTCTCTTTGCAATGAATGTAGACTCGTGGCTCATCAAAGTGATGAGAATAAGTGATGCTTGAATGCTCGGTCCTAAACAGGACATTCATCCCACCTTCTCTACAGATCAAGGGACATGGCAGCAGCAGGAGGAAAGTGTAAAGGTCAGAAGAATGCTTGGTCCTAAACAAACATTCATTCCACCTTCTCTACAGATCAAGGAACATGGTAGCAGCAGGAGGAAAATGTAAAGGTCAGAAGAATGCTTGGTCCTAAACAAACATTCATTCCACCTTCTCTACAGATCAAGGAACATGGCAGCAGCAGGAGGAAAATGTAAAGGTCAGAAGATAGCTCAATCCTAAACAGGACAGTCATTCCACCTTCTCTACAGTTCAAGGGACATGGAAGTAGGAGGAGGAAAAGGTGTAAAGGTCAGAAGAATGCTCAGTCCTAAACAAACATTCATTCCATCTTCTCCACAGTTCAAGGGACATGGCAGCAGGAGGCGGAAAGGCATAAAGATCAGCAGACAGGAGGAATGTGAAATACCTTTCAAAACACAGAGAGGCGGGGTTAAAATCAGTGAGTCACAAAACAAAAATCAAAAAGACATGAGGAAAAGGAGAAGGGAGGAGGGCAGTTAATGGGTAGGAGGGAGAAGAGGGAGATGAGAGGCTGTGGGAGAATAAATATGCATTATATTCATGTATGAAACTGACAAAGAACGAGTTTAATCAACTGAAGAAAGGCTAAGCAACCAACCAAGGAGAAAGGAGTGCCAGCTAAGCCAAAGAAAAGATCTGCTCCGCAGACAGACAAAGGAAGCGCTGTTTCTCCACAGACCACCTCAGAATGGGGCTGATTACCAGAGAGACTAGCCATGTGACTAGGGAACTTAGAAGTAGCCATCCTCTGGGAATGGGAGAGGCATGCGGGACTATAGTCAGGCACAAAGATCAGAATACTAGCACAGGAGTGAAAACACAGTCCCAAAGTGTCTAAGGCTGACACCAAGTCAGGCCTCATATTCTTGTCAACAGCTTCAGTTGAGAACCCAAGCACCCTGAATAATTGCTTTGGTGTATAAACTGAGCTTCTGTTATATTGCAACCCCAAAAGCCCAACCTTAAACATATACTTCCCATAATGTTCTTACAATGATTGAAATAATGAAAATAAGACTTTTGAATGTATGGACATTCTATGAATTCTATGAATGATCACTACCTTTCCCTCCCAAAATCCTTAATGAGAATGTCTATAGTTGGTAGCACTTAATCAAAATGATCTAGAATTTAAATAGAATTTGTTTTAGATTTCTAAGCATGTCTTAAACCACTGAAATTTCATGAGTAATATTATGCTATGAGATGATTAATACTTAACTCTTACATTACCAGAATGGGGCTGACTACCAGATAGACTAATCAGTGACTAGAGGACTTTCAACCAGCCCAAACTCTGGAAATGGAAGAGGTTCAGGAGACTGAATTCAGCCATTGAACAATAATTCAAACATGCTTTGAAAGAAAATGTCAATAAAAATTCCGGAACTCTAGAAACCCAAGCTCATGGAAGTTCCAAGATGATAAGCAAATATAAGTACCTTCCTGAGCTCTGTGAAGTTGCAGCAACTTAGCAAGAGTGTGTGTGTGTAGCCTGGCAATTGTCTTTCAGTAGTACACAAACACAATGGTCTTGCTGGGCACCGAGCCCTTTAATTTGTGAAGTCTTGCTAATTCCAAGTGTTTAGTGCCAGAATAAAACTGCAATATAATACACTCAAGACAGAAACAACATGTGTAGACAAAGAGAGAATTCTGGCATAAGAGCAATAATATCTACTTATAAGATTTGTACTTTAAGTATTACACATGCAAACTGGAAATCATCATTTTGATTAATTCTCAGAAAGAATTTGTAGAAGTAAAAACTTTTTCAGTGAAAAGACATGAGACTAAGAGAAACTGATGGTTTCTGAATTTTTAACCACATGACCCTGAGACCAATAGAAGCAATATATTATCAAAAGACAAACTTTCCTGTCATCTCCACAAATGAGTAAGAGTGAATTCATGGTCTTGGTCGCCAAATAATTCAAAGACTAGTAAACATTTCCGACTTGATACTCAGTGTTTACTAGTCCTGTTGAGAAATATTTTTAGAAGAGTTGGAGTGTATTTTTACCTTCAGTGAAGTTCAATGGCAATGGCACCGAGACAGTGTTTGTGAGCGTTAGTAAGCTCTCTCCGCTAACCAGAAAGGCAAGCTCCTCAAATCCAAGGCATGTTCCCCACACAGGAAAATAGTCTCCATCGTCATAACTCTTTGGGAGAATGAAAGAGAAAACTATGTTCATTCAAACTGTGCAGGTATGTGTTTGTCTGCCGTCTGTCTCTAACAAGCAACACACAATATTGCTTATTATTACTGCAACACAGATTTCTGCAGGATTTTCTGGGATTCGTAAGTAGGCTATACTTAACCTGTTTTCAGAAATACTCTGAGGCAGGTTAGAAAAAGGCAGTTGTGGGCACATTATGTCTTGATCCAAAGAGTTTAAAAGGCCATGAGTTATTTAGTCTAGCTATTAAAAGTTATTAAGCATGTATCTCAAAAGAGTTGTTATTGAGGAAAATGTTTAGGAGAGGCTGGCAAGATCTGAATGCCAGAAACAATAAATGAAAAATTGCTAACAATATGTCAAGGGAGAAACAGGAATCTAAGACACCACAGCAGAAGTGCAAGTCCAAGGCAAGGCATGCATACTGTCTATGGTCTGCATGGCTAACACACAGGGCCTGACGTATGTGAACTGAAGTTCTCTGATAAAGCCACATCTGTCTTGCAGAGTCTCGACTGACTAACTAGAACTTTGTGCCTGTGTCAAGACAGCATGCTGCAGACTAAGAGCCCGAATTATCTGGAGCTATCTTTAATCTCTTTTACTAGGCATTTATTACCAACCTCTGTGTCTCACTTGATATGTTTATTACTACTAGGTACAGTCTTTGAAATATAATGCTGAATGTAGCAAATATCTGGCTTCCTCAGCCCTAAAGCTAAAACTTTTGTGAGCTAGCACCTGAATCTCACATAAGAGACCTGCCTGCTCTACTGTAGTGTCTCACCATCAACTTGGCAAACTAGTTTTTAAACTCCGTTTGTTCTGTAACTCTTATCTTTGACTTGTACTTGGCTCAGAATAAAACCTCTCCGGCATGAGCTGTGTCTGGTGTCAGCATGTGGCTCGGAAGAAGGGTGACGCTGGATGGAACAGCCACGAGGAGGAGAGTTAATAGCGCAGGCATCACACGGGTACATAAAAGAACAGCTCACAGAGAGGGACGAGGTGTACTAGCTGTGAGGAGTGGCTCACTCCTAGAATCCCGAAATTACATGAAACAAAAATAACAGGTGGAAACAGACACTTGATTCCCGCACAACACGTGTCTGATTGCTACGGGGAGTAAGGCTGGACTATCTGTAAAGGAAGCAAGACTATATCCTTTATGAAAGACAATCATCCTATGAAAAGAGACAATCCATTTAGAGTAATGAGCAATAGCAGATTTACCTCTATGGCCTTGTTGTAAAATATTCTGGCCACTTGGGAATACTCTGAATGTAATATGCTAGCACTTCCTCCAGGAAAAAGGATTCTGAAACAAAATCAATTAAGATATATTTTTCTCCATTCACCAAGTAAATAAATATGCTTCATTTATAAATGTCATTATTACTATTACATTATTACTATATAATATTTATAATCTAGCCATTCAGAAACTATTGTGGTTAATAATTTTGCACATACTCTTTTAAAACTTCTTCAATAAACAAGCTCATTGAGCAAAATATAATCTGAACAAAACGAAAGCAAAAAGAGAGAGAGAGAGAGAGAGAGAGAGAGAGAGAGAGAGAGAGACCGAAGAGGGTGGAGATGAAGAAACAAATCTCCAGGTGTGGCTGGCTATGAATTAGGGTGATGAGCAAGGCCAAGCCATCTATAAATACACATCTATTTTAATTCGCAAGTGAGAATAAAACTACAAAGCACATAATAATCATAACATTTACTTTGATTAAAATTAAATATCTACAAGAATTTGCTTCTTCACAATCCTGATACTTCTTAAGAAATAAACAGAGCTGGGCAGTGGGGGTGCACACCTTTAATCCCAGCACTTGGGAAGCAGAGGCAGGGAGATCTCTGTGAGTTCGAGACCTGCCTGGTCTACAAGAGATAGTTCCAGGACAGGCTGAGACAGACAGAGAAACCCTGTCTCAAAACTCACACACACAAAAAGAAAGAAATGAACATAGTAAGTATTAGGAAATCCTGAAAATCCACAATTGTCATTCTCAGAAGTCTTAGATGAGTCACAAATGTTAGATTTCTTTTTATTCTACCCAAATAAATAAAATATATTAAAAAATTATGATGTTTTTATATCAGGTTTTTAAATTAATGTTAAATGTTTTATTTCTTTAACACATATTGAAAGAACCACTATATTGAAAAAACAATAATTTTCAATATATCCTTAAGATAACAAAGACCTATTCAAAAGTGGTCTGGCTTTTCTGGCCAACAAAAGTTGGACTGAACATATTGAAGTTCTAAAAATATTTGAATATGAGTTTATAATATTACGCTGGAGTCTTTTATTTTTAATTTGTGTGTGTGTGTGTGTGTGTGTGTGTGTGTGTGTGTGTGTGTTAGAGATAGAGAGGTGTATGAGAAGAACACGTATTCTCTTTCCACATGTGGGGATGAATTCAGCTCACTAGGCTTGTGTGACAAGTACATCTTAGGCCCTCTTACCAGACAGAGGCTATTTTTGCATTGAAGAAATATATCATTCTTCTTCTATGATTCAGGCTTGGTGTCAGCCTGTGACAAGACTGGCTTCCATTGTCAGGAAACTAAGTCTGTGTGCTGAAACACAGCAGGAAGCCCTGGATGACTGGAGGAGCCCAAGCCCCATTAACTCCGTATTTTAAAAGCTGCCTCTGACCACACCCAACTCATGGGACCTTACAGTTCTTTACACAGAAAAACTGGACCAACACCCCAGATAACAGTCTCCCTGAGCACAGGCTCCATACTTTGTCTCATACGTGTTCTTCCATAAAACAGTGCGAAGTTCACTCCACGTGACCTCACGGAAAGTATTTTTTGAGCTTACATTATTATACTTTTTTTTCTGTTTATTTCAGTGTAATTTTCACCAATCTAGTGCCCAGCTTTCAGAGTCTGTGCTGTGGAGAGGGAGTCAGTCTCTGGAAGAAGGTCAGTGTCTTAACTTCCTAGGTGTCTTAACACAACCTCCTTAAGCTGAAAGCAATAAAGAGTAGTTTTCATTGGCTTTCAAATCCCATTTTATGGGCTAACTACTCACATAGTTTATGGTGAAGCAGAGAAATTTTTCTAAGAACTATTCAAATTACCTCTGAAAGATGATCAACCAGTAACCTCAGACATAAAACTTGGATATTTCAAAATATTTAGGCATTTAAACAAAGATTAAGTTAAAAAATCATGGGTCCTGTAAGTAACAATTACACATTCCTACTTGCTTCCTGCCCAGTACTAAGACTAACCCTGAACCTTACGGACCAGGCAAGTCCTCTACCACTGGGCTGCACTCGGCTCCCTTGTCTTTTTCTTTCTCAGACTGGTGAACTTTCTGCTCTCTTCTCTCGGGCTCCCAGAGCACTGGGATTACAGTACAGGCTTTCAGCCTCCAGGTCTGGTCCTACCTCTCATTCTTCACTGCACCTTTACATCTCCCTTCAAAACGTTCAACAAAAGCACTTGGGAAATTATCAGAAAACTTTAAGATAGCTCTATAGAAACATACAAAACTTATACGGACATGTTGCAAAACTTTAGTATGTACACACTGACACACTGTATTAAGACTTGATACCATATCAAGCCAACTTACCCATTAATAGATCTGAAAAGTTCTGTATATTGTGTATGTTGAAGATTGAGCCTGAAAATAATAAAAACGGTTTTACAAAGGAAGTCATTTCTGAAGCCTAAGGAAAAAGAAGTCACCACCTTAATTTTTAAACATTTAAATAAAAAAATAAGACTTTTTAGGTACTGCAGATTGAGCCCAAGGCCTTGAACATACAGGGCAAGTGCCACAACACTTTTACCTAAATATCAGACAGTATTGCATTTCTACACTAGAGGTATAACTTGTCAAGCTATGAAAATCACAGGATTATACCCTGTGGAGCTAATTAGAAATGTTAATCTGTTTTTCTGGGATTAATTAAATTCAATATTTTAAAGTAGATGCTAATATAATCAAACACCGGACACTAGTAATATCTATTAGTCAAGAAACCTAAAAATATTCAGCCATTTTATATAAAGATAAAAAAAAAATTGAAAGTTTTATGGGGCTGGAGAAATGGTTCAACAGTATAAAGTTCTTGCTGCTGTTCTAAAACATCCAAGTCCAGTTGTTCATACACGTGACAAGCTACTGTGTTACTGCAGATACAGTTCTTACACCCTCTTTGGGCTCTGTGAGTACCCGCATGTGCACACGGGACACACACATACACACACACACACACACACACACACACACACACACACAAATACATCTTTTAAAAAGCTTTACTACCACACACCTTACCTACAGGTAGCTTGGAGAAATGGAAACTGTATGAATGGACACCAAATCCCAACATCTCATCCCCTCCAACCAGCTGCAAAGGACTGAGTACTCTACTTGAAATCCAGAACAATCCAGATCTCATGGCACACTATTTACAGACCTCTGGGACTGGCTCAGCTATTCTGAAGCATACTTGATCAAGAATCCTTACAAGATTTCCTAGCAATCACCATATTACTGATGATTTTATTTCTTTTCCCCAGAGAAAAACTAAAGAAACTAATCCATAAACATTTTTAATTAAATCACAGTGTGGTATCTGTAGAAAGTGTATATGAAACACAATAACTCCCCGACACTGTTTCTACAAGACCTCTCCATACACCTGTCCACACACAGAGTGATAAACGTTTGCACTCCTCAGTAGAATTCGGTCCATTTCTACCCCAGGAAAGAGATACAGGTGGATATGGGTGAATTTAGAACATGACTCCTGTTGTTGCTAAGTGAGCTGTAGTTCCTGGCATGTGCCTATGCTCTCCCAGTAAACTTTCCCAGCTCTCCTCTAAGTCGCAATAAACTCTTGAAATCCACGTGGGTTGTTCCAAAGTCACAGTAAACTTCTTTTCGGTTCAGAGCCTCAAAGCCATCAGTGAAACTCCTACAGAATGATTAACTGACGGGTGACTGTGCCTCGCGGTGGATAAGGAGGGAGAATGTGAGTTCATGTGTTCTCAGTATCCTGACAGTATCCTCAGTAACCTCTTCAGACTGTCCCACAAATCTCAGAATCTTCCTCATGGACCACGATTGGCAGTCACTACCACCAGCTGCATACCAAAAGCCCCTGAGTCGGCTAACCAAGTAGCCTCCACACCATCTGTGACTATGCTTTAACCCTGATCCTCACTATTAATAGGCAACATGATTGAGGAGTGTGACATGAACATACCTGTCTCAAGACAATGCCAGGGAAAACAAGGTGTGATTTGAACAATGAGGTCATTTGCTTCTTGTCAGATGTTTCTAAACACAAAAATTCTTGTCAGGTTGCCCACTGGCCCTATTGCTAAGGACACCATATACTTTAATTGCACAATACAAAGAAATCAAGCTTGAACTAATCTGAAAGTTTATTCCCTGCTGGTTAGCTTTCCTGGTGCCAAAAGGCAGAATGCAGGAAGCTAGAGAAGAAAAAAATCATCTCAGTTGAGAATCTTACAGACTGCAGTACCAGCCTGTCAGGCAGGATGTGTCCTCTGGTGCAGTCATGGCATGGCTGTTGGGGGATAATCAACTGCATTCTGGTTTAATGTGAGGCTACTCTAAAGGACGTTCACGCTTGGTGCTATGGATGTGGGCAAAGGCCCATGGCTGGGGAGATCACAGGCTCTAAGTGTAAACTGCTTCTTCTGTTTTACTAAATGGACATGTTGTCAAACTGTTCCCTAAATATTTATTTATACCTATAGACCACTGCTGCCCCCAGCCTTTGGCAGAGAAGCTTCATTTTTACAGCAAATGGTGATTAATGCAGAAACTCATAACCAAGGTGATGAGAGTGAGTGACTGTTGAATGCCCAGCTCTAAACAGGATACTGGGATCACTCCAAAGTTCAAGGAACATTGCAGAAGAGACTTAAAGGACTTAAGAGCAGGACAAAAGGGAGGACTCGAAGATGCTGTCTTCTGGATATGACATAGTCTGTGTATCCAGGAACTCACAGCAGCTGCAGGTGTCTGCACAGAGCCTGCACAAGATTGGGCTAAAGAGCGTTCCGCCAAGTGTGGAAAAAGGACTCAGAGGACCTCATCCATCCCCTGAGAACTACTGGCAGTCATGGCTGCCTAGGGAAGGGAGGTTAAGTCTTCAGTGGTCTAGCTACTGTTGAGTTGTCCGGGCTTGTAGGCCCATATTTCTACATGGTATGGCAGCCATGCTCTCAAGCCATAGCTGGCACCTGAGGTGGTCACATACCCTCCCAGACAGGCTATCGCTACCCTAACAAAGGGTCAGGATGTTGTTCTGCGCCTTTGTAATTTGGAGGTTGCCTGGGATAGAGATGCTAATTCAGGCCTACATGACAGAGCTGGCATACAGAGCAGGAAGATAGGGAGACATGACAAAATGAGCATAGAAAGGTGTGGTCAAAGGTGTGGACGTGACTAAAGCCATTCACCTGGTTACCTGGGAAATAGAACGCTAATGAATTTCCCCCTCGGTTTATGTTTTGATATATAAGGCTGTTTGGAGAATAAATGCAGAGGAATTTTCAGGATGTGAACTCAGGATTTCATGAGGGATCACTGGGAATCTCCCTCCTGGTAAAGCCATGTGAGTTGTGTCTTTATTCCTGTGCCTCCAGGCCGGTCCAGAGAGAGAGTTTATGTTGGGGATGGATCCCGACACAGGCTCCAGGGAAGAACTCTCACAATGTCCACTGGTTAAACCAGGAGGATTACAAAACAAAAACAAAACAGACATGAAGATGGGAAGGGGTTCGCTGGGATGAGAGGGTGGTTGGCAGGGGTGGGAGGGAATAGGAAAAGATAAGGCTGCTTACGACATCATACACTTTGGTCGTAGGACACAAAGAAATCAGTCTTGAACTGAGCAGGAAGTTCTTCCGCTGGCTAGCTTTCCTGGCGCTGAAAGATGCTACACCGGCTTCTGGCAGAGGAAAGACACCAACGGTCTTACCTAGCACTAGATTCTACATGATGAAATAACAGACCTGGCAAGCAAGATGCACCCACTGGAACAACAGTGGCAAGACTGTCTGTGAGAATAAACAACCATTCCCTTGCTTGAATTTGAAGCCTGTCCCACAAGAGGGCTTTCATGAATGCTACTGTAAATATAGTTAAAACCCATGGCTGAACTCACAGTAGCTATGGTGACAGGCACGAAACTTACACAAGATCAAGCCAGTTAAATGTTCCAGCACACATGGGGGAGGGGCTACCAAGGCCCCACCCCCAGATAAGGAGCTGATGGCAGTTGGTGGCTGATGCGAGAGGAGAGTCACTTTTCTTTTGAGATATTGGTAGGTTGTCCATGCTCCAGTGGATATGAATATGAGCCCCTAATTGGATTTACTGGCTGAAAAATGTATTGTTTCAACAGACATGAAGTTGAAAGGGAAATGTATTTGGTGTGGGCTGGGAGTCCTACAGGAAGTTGGAAGAGGGAGGGGGTGAATATGATCAGGATACATTGTATACATGTATGAAATTTTCAAAGAAACTTTGAACTATTATTTTTAAAAGAGTAGGAATGAGTGTGTAATCATAATGCATGATATACATGCATGAAACTGCCAGGGAAATTTTAAAAAACCTTCTCAACAGTTCATGAGAAATAGCTTCCTGTCTCCACAATAAAATGAACCCAATACTGATGGAACAAGTGTAGCTTCAGTGGCATTAACAGCCATGGAGACCAGTGCCAGACGGCAACAGCTCTCCTACTGACAGGAAGACCTAGGAAACTATTTTCAAAAGCCAAAACTTCAGTCTTCTGATGTATAAACGTTCAAAACTATTTTAAATGCTTTGTGAACTAACTGAGCGTATTCTAAAACAGATGGGGCCAGCTTGGGCTGTGGTGTTCAACCTTTCAGGACCCTGTCTTTTCTAAGAGTCCCACAGTTGGAAATGGCAACCTGAAAGTACCAAGTCCTGAGAAAGGTAATCAGAAAAGGGTAGGCTGAAACCAAGGTCAAGCATCACCTACAGCAAAATTCTGCCCGGGTCTCCCATCCACCTTCTTCTCCCCTCTGAACCAGAAAGTGGCCCCAGCAACCAATCTAACAGTAACGCTGCAAAAAGTCTCTTCATTGTACACGTAGAATCTCTGCCCCAAACTTTACAGTTACTACAGGATCACATGATCCCAATTTCCAGCAGTAAGTCTCAAAATCAACTTTAGTGCCAAAGCTGAAGTTTAGCCCGCATGCTGACAATCAGGTTTTCAGTCTCTCGTCATAACTGCTACTATTCCACAAGTCATCTGGTTTCCAGACTCCCCAGCTTCCATCACTCCCACCTCTTTCTCTCTCTGCACCCTTGGATTTGATGAGTCATCATTTTTACTGATTTTTAAGGCCACGTACCTATCAACTCATAACCACAGCCTTTTATTTCACACCCACACTCTCAGCAGCCTCTGGACAGGACTGCCCACTGTGATGGCTCTGCAGTGTCTCTCCCACATCTGCACTAACCTCTTAAATAGTGTTGTAAAACTTCCATAAACTTTGAAACACTGTGCTGGAGACTTTCAGGGGCCTCTTACTCAGCTCTATAACTTGAGTAAATGATTACACATGAGATCAGATTCAGCACAAACAAATTAAACACTAACCTTCGGGGTAAAGACAGTTAATCAAATGTGAAAGGTGACACAAGACAATTCTTATGAATCTCAACATAAAGACTATTTTTTCCTGAAACCATAAATCTGAGATTCTCAACCTGTGAGTCATAACCCTTTTAGTAAACCTCTATCTCCAAAAAATTTACATTAGGACATATAACAGTAGCAAAATTACTGTTATGAAGTAGCAAAAGAAAATAATTTAATGGCTAGGGGTCACCACAACATGAGGAACTGTATTAAAAAGTCATAACATTAGGAATGGTGAGACCCACTGCTCTCAATCCTAATATTTGCACTTTGAATACGAATAGCATGTAGATTATAACTCCTTAGTGCATTTATGTGCACAATAGGTTGCAATGGTGTTTTGGGCATGAATTTTCACAATAGATTAGATGAGAATTCTACAAGATTCTCGTGCACAGATTTTAGCTGACAGAATAAGTGCTTACAAGATTTCTGTCTAACTTTTCTCAAGTGAAAAAGGAGTGATGCAATCAACCCCTTTGAGCTGAAAGTAGGAGATTAACCATGTTATTTTCCTGAGTCATATCATAAAATAAATACTTTTGTAAAAGTGTTTTTATTACTATATTTCTTTAAGTGTACGTGTACGTGTGTGTGTGTGTGTGTGTGTGTGTGTGTGTGCGTGCGTGCCCACTACATGTGTGTTGGATCCCACACAGCTAAAGCTATAAGTGGTTGTGAACTGCCCTACACGGGTTCTGGGAAGCAAACCTTTATCCTCTAGAAGAGGATCAAGTGCACTTAACCACTGAGGTATGTCTCCAATCCCAAACTGAACACCTTTAAAACTAAAACACCTCTCGTTTACACGGCAGCAACACTGATACAGTCATCACTGACAAGCTCTGGGCAGATGTTGAAGTTTATGTATAGCCATCTTCTAAATGATGTCCTTCATCCCTTAAGTGTTCCCTTATGCTAGTAGTTGGCAGAAAGCTGACTAAACTGGAGATTCTATTATGATTTTTATAGTGTCTGTGAGGAGTCTCTTTTCCGGGGTGACGGAAGCAATCATGTCTTTCTCAATGCTAACAGACATATAGCATACTTTCGGTGACATTATAGACATACAGACCTTTAAAAACAACTTAATGGGAGCCTACAGGCAATAAGTTTATGGCTGAAATCAAAGGCAACTTCATTTAATGATGCAAACATAATAAAGAAGGCATTCATCTTAGAGATAAAAGACCACTCTTTACATCCATGGCGGAAACCCCAGAAGCATACCTTATGGGTACAACTCTTGCACCTGCGGACTCTAAGTACTTCACATAGGATGCAGCAATGTAATATTTTCCCAGATTTCTCATCTCCTTGGTACGGCATCTTTGCATTAATATTCCTAAATTTTTTTAAAAAAAAAGTATTAATTTCAAGCAATTTGATTTATTTCTTACTCAAAACTGAATGGTGGCACAACGTAAATGTCACTACTTTGGTTTCTCAGTCTGCATCTCCTCCAAGTCTACTACTGGGAAAGCAGTGGAGAAGGATGATCGCAGTTTCTTACCTCACCAGGAATGTGAAAGAAGTCCCCAAAGTAAGTTTACAATAGCCCCAGCTTTCTTCACACAACCTCAGACAACTCACGAAGTCTACAAGGTGCCAACCCCTTGCCCCACAAAGACACATTTCTATACTTGTTAGCAAAGTCAACATGAAAATACCTTTCATCTCCATCTCTCTAAACCATCTGTCTAGGTAACCAGCATTAACCAAACTCATCGAGACTATTAGAAGGTCCTTATTCTTTCTGAAGGAACCCTCAAGCTTTAGTTTCCCACAGAAACAAAGCTGACTCCTTCATCCATTCACTATTGGTTAACCACACTGTATGCCAGGCACTGAACTAGGTGCTAAGGACACAAGAATTAAAGAAAAAGAAAAAAGAAAAATCTTTACCCCACAGGCTTCAATAGTAGTGGGTGGAAGAGGAAAGAGGTTAAGACAAACAATACAGAGATCCTTTTTAGATCCAATTATGAGGGCTGGTGCTTCTGTCAAGACGGAACACAAAGAAATAGGTGTCCCATTTAAGGTGTCTCTTAAACAGGGTGCCAAGTCCTCCCGGGAAAGCAGAGCAAGTCTTCAGCAAGGTGGCGCAAGTCCTTCTGGGGAAGATACAATGTGCCGCTTAATCCAAAGCATCAGTGAGGTGGGGCAATGAACCATACACCCACATTTGGAAGAAGAGAAATTCAGGGCAAATGAACAGTGCCATGCCAAGGTCATGAGTTAGCCGGTCACTCTGCAAGAAGTCCATCAGACTGGAAATATGTAAGAGAAAGGAAGAAGGCAAGAGTTAATGGGACAGAGATACGCAGGCCAACAGGGGCTACCATCTTCATTATATTCCTCAGAGGTTACTGGACTTCAGAAGCTCTGCAACTTCCTGCTCTGTCCCTCACATCTCTCTGAATTCCTCTTACCAACAAAACCCGAGTCCAGCACACTGACATCCAACATACATCAATGAATGACCGTGTATGCTTAACATGTACAATGTCTTGGATCCATCCCTAGCCTCCAAAAAGTGAACAACGAAAAAAACATCACATCTGCTCATTGACTATCTGTGACTCTGTGAGTCAGCATGTCACTCGCACCGTCTCAGTGGAACAATCACATCGGTATTCTTGGCTTCTTACAATAGTTGACATGAATCACTCCTGAATATCAAACATCCAAATGTATGTAGTAAGAATGTTTCTCTCCTCCCCATCAGATAAGATAGTCTTCACAATGAACAATGAAATTTGGCTAGGAAGAGTACAGCAGGACCCTGGGAGAGAGAGTGATGTAAAGCAGAAGGGAGGTGCTACAAGGACAGCATGAAGAATCATGGGAACCCAAGTGCCTGCAACAGTAAATCAATCCCACCATCATACCCCAGCCCATTCATTTGTCCCATTCCTAGGCAAAGAGTTCAGACTGTATGCCCTGTCTCTCAACATGTGCCCCAAATACCATGTGCACTTCAGGGTATCTCACAACTTCTGTGGCTGTCTTGTCCTTGAATCCTTTGTGTATGTGCTCCATCAACTATATTATCTTAATTGATGGGGTAGAGGGGGCTTCCAGATAGCTTAGCAGTAGGTACAGGCTACTAGTAGGTACTAGTAGACAGGTTCCTGAGTCTGAGGACCTGAGTTCAATCCCCAGGACCCATATGGAGAAAGGAGAGAATTGACTCCTAAAGTTGTCTTTTGACCTTCACAGGTGCATGTGATAAGCATGCAATATAGCTGATAACTATAAACATAAAAGAAAAATAACTAACATGCAAAATAACTATAAATATAAAAGAAAAAATGCAGTTGATCAGGTTAGCCAAAAGCATACTTTTTGCCATACTTAACTGAGAGTTGCTTTGATTCTAAAAAACAAAATGAATGAATCCTGTCATTTTTTCTTTTTTCTTTCTTTTCCCTAAACCTACAAATGCAATTCACTACATATGTTACACGATTAAACTTGAAGAATCTAACCGACACTGGAAACAGCTATGGAGGAAGGGTTTCAAGTGTTAGTAAGCAACCCATTTGAAAACTGGATCATTCCTGAATTCATAAACTAATTTTCTAGTTTCTGTTTAGTGCTCACCTGTAACAACAATCAAATGACATAATCCTACATACGTTAACCCATAAACATCTTTTGTCCAATTTTAACCAAAATTTCTCCTTGGTGGCTTTTCAAATGTCTGATATGATTGCAAATCAATTTTACCATCTGAAATGCAAATATGCTGGAAACTACTATATGCTTTACTTTTCAAACAGAACTGACATTCGAATCCTCAGAACCACTGTTGTTACTTGATGCCAAGAACGGCAAAGTCCAAGTCACATTTTAACTCCTTACCTATTTCACTTTTCTATTTAATTTATTGTATCTTCATTTATGTCCTCAACCCAAAAAAAAATGTGAATAAATTTAACCATGTGCAGAATTTCTGGGACAAGAAAGGCAGGGAAAATGGTGGGGACGCAGAGCAGGAAAAGTACCCCTCACACTGGAGTCTGGTTGAATCCTCCCACCAGCTAACACTTAGGAGTGGATTCACGTTTATAAAGGTGTTTCTCCCTTCCCTGCGGTAAACCTTTACTTCTCTAGGAATTTCACTTCAGTTGCAGTAAGACATATCCTAACCCCTCAGTCTGCTCAACTCTTGAAGTTCTGGTTTTATCCTACACAGAACATCTCTGCATCCTCCTTATAATCTTAATTATCATCATGAAAAAAGAGAACAGGAATAGAGAGGGAGGTCCTGTGGAAACCTCTTGAACAATGACCACTTGCTCATTAGAAGTGGAGTCTTCTGAGTAGACTCCATGCTCTCTCGTGTGCTTCATTTTTACACTGACAGTCTCTCTTACCACTCTTGATAAATCCCAGTTCGGCTTCACAACTCGCCCTCCCTGAAATTCTTTTACGCTCAAAAGCGGAAGCCCCAAATCCTGAGTGTGCCTGAGCTGTATGTACTTCCTAAAGACCACTCCAGGCTGCTTGGGGTGCCCGGTGGCGGCGTGCAGCTGCGCCTTCATCCGGACCCCGCAGACGCCGTCACTTCTCGAAGGGATCAGTACAAAGTTCCTTTGATGAGAAGCCGCGGGCGTCGTGGGTCCGCACACCTCTCCGGATCAGTGACA